TAACATATCCACTTTTTACAGCAAGCTCTATGATCTTTGTATCCATCACTATAACGCATCCACTTTTTACATCAAGCTCTATGATCTTTGTATCCATCACTATAACGCATCCACTTTTTACAGCAAGATATATGATCTTTGCAACTATCACTCCAGTAGCAAAGTAAGTAATGAGTTTGGACTCAAGTAATATTAAGCAAGTGTCGGTGGCACGGGGATCAGATGGGTGGTCACTGGGGTGTGTCCTTGAGCAAGACACGGCAACTCTAGCTCAAAATACAGGGCGCTGCACTGTAGCGACCGACAGTGACATGGTTGTAAAGTGTTCTGTATTTGTGTAATATTGTGTATTTATGTACTATGTATTTATTTGTGCATGTATTTATGTATGTGCACGTATTTATGTATGTATGTATGTTTGCTATTGTAAACCAAAGTGCCCTTCTGAGACAAATAAAAGTGTAATTTATTAACGTATCCACATTCGAAGGTCCCTGGTTGGAATCCGGGTAGCGACCGAAACAATTTTTTTCTCTAAAATTGTCCCCTTTCACCTCCACACCGGCAAAATTCAAAATTTCCTACCAACTGAAAATATTAGGTATGTTTCGCTCGCTAATATGACCTTATGCAGGTGCGAGCGCCGTAAAACACTTACCAAAACTAAAAAAACCCTAAAAAAACCCCACTACCCTGAGTTTGACCTGGAACGTTCTGTCCATCCAGCGGCAAAGGGTTTGTGACTGACTGACCACGCGCTCCGTGCCTGGCGATTTTCTGTGGCGTGTGTCCGATTTCTTCACCCCCACACTATCATCACTGTCTGCTGTCTGCTGTCTTGTCATGCTCTAAAGACACAAAACGCTGATAGTCCACCACCTATACTGAGAAGTAGACCGGATTCTGTTCTTATCTAACAGTTGTGAGGCAGCGTGGTGGAATCAGGCTCTCGTCAATTTTTGGGCATGTAGAGTTATTCGTCTCATCGTAAAGCTTGTTCACATGTGTTTATTTGGATGAAAAAAAAAATCCAGTTATCTTGAATACAAGTCGAGATATTTGCGAAAAAAGGAAGCGGGGGTCACCTGTTTTCAGAGGTAAAATTAGTGAGAAAATGGCAAGCAAAGATTCGTTATTTCCTTAGCGTAAGACTCCGTGGTAACTGAATTTTTTTTTCTGCATTTAATCAACGTTTTCCAGAAAAATCCACACAGAAATGAGCCAAAAAACAAAAATTTGATAAAAATTCACAAACCATAAGAAAAAAGCAAGTTTCTTCGCTTTGATTATTTTGACGAGAGCCTGATTCCACCACGCTGCCTCCCAGTTTTTCTCTGATAATGTATCAGGACGTTGTAGTTGTAGATTCTCCCCTCTCCCTCTCTCTCCCATGCCCTCCTTACCCCCCCCCCCCACAACCTTTCCTTGCTTTCATAGTCCTCTTCCTCCAACCCCCCTTTTTTCCCCCCCGCAATCTTCACCTCTTACTCTCGCGTCAAAATATTCTTGTCTGCACTATTTCACGCGTACCAATATTTATGAAAAGTTAAGCCTATGCTGGTAATTCCTGAGTAAACCGGTCTCCGCGTCATAATATTATCATCACCACGACAAGTGGCCAATGAAAAACGAGGGAAAAAAATTGCTGGGTGAAAGAACTTGAAACTTACTTGTAAGTCCCGTTAAGTGTCATTCGTCATTCTCTCTCGACGATCTGTCGGTGAAAAAGGGCTCATGTCGCTATTTAGTTTGTTTTTCTTGCTACTCCGACGTTTGAGAATGTTGGCCATGATGTAAGCTGATGTGCCGTGACACCGGGCAGACATTTCATTCAAAGTAACAGGAACAGGAACTGTTGGCTGGACCGTCGTCGACTTCGTCATTATTAATTTATTCTTTGGAGGAAGGACAAGTTTTATTCTCTTACCAGAACCATCTGAAAAAAATATAAATATTGGAATACATTTTCTTTCTCTTCGCTGAGGATTTTTCTTTGAGTTCGCGATGGATACTACGGACACGACAAAGTTAGAAAAAAGTCAAGGTAACTTGTTGAAACTAGTGACAATAAGTTGCTAGATTTTAATAAATGATTATTTTAAAAAAATAATTATGATTTAATGTATAGTCGAATCTTTCCAACACGGCCACCCTTTGTCGAAGGGAAAAGAGGTTGTCTTAGACAGTAAGAGGGACGTACTGGGCAGTGTTATTTTTGTAATATTTGAAAAAAAATTAGCTTGGTGTAAGTGGGAAGTGGTCATTTGTGCAGTCTTTTCTTTTGGATTGGGCTCCTGACACTTTCTGCTGCCTTTATACTGCTACTCCTCGGCTCCTTCTTACTGCTGTCTCTCAGCCGCACCCCAGATCTTCTGGTTAAAAGATCTACACTTAGCCTTTTCGGACATGGGAAAAAAATCTTGGAGTTCTCGTATGTAAGTTGCGCATGTTAAAGATCCCTTGGTGGTTCCCAAATCGATAAGAATAGGCATCCGGGGAAAATTCAAAATGTGCTACCAACTGAAGATGTTAAATGGGTCTAGCGCGCTCAAATGACATTATGTAGCTGCGAGCGCCGTAAAACGCTTACAAAAAATAAAATATAAATAAATTAAATAATAAAAGACAGAATGAGCACGCCA